CCACCAGCCCACCCAAGCCCATCTGGGCCATGCGAGACCCAAGCTCCCAGCCACCACAACAGGGGCGCCTCCGCCACGGGGAGGTTGTGCCTCCAATGTCACCGTTGGCTCGCTCTCGTCGTCGGGATCCCGCCGCTCCTCCCTGCCGAATCTTCGCCGGTCCACGCGTCGCCGCCACCGGGGAGCTCGCCATCGCCACGCGATGGAGAAGGCCCCGCCGTTGCTGTCACCGCCCGGGCTTCGCCCGACAAGACCCCTGGCGTCGGCGGGAGGGAGGGGACGAGGGGTGGTAGGGCCGGAGGCAGGCGCCGTGGTCGCCCCCTCCCCCCTGTGTCGCCTAGGGTTGTGCTTGATGTGTATCTGTCAGAAATTTAACATCACTTTGATCATGTAAAGGCAGTGTCTCGGTACATTTTTATTATTCATAAGATCATACAGGTTCCTAACTATGTCTCGGTATATATACTTCTTCATTACCATAGCAACATACAGGTTCACGATCATGTCTCGGTATGTATTCTTTTCTGTAGGGGTTCCTGACTATAACTTAAATCCATCTAATCTTGTGTGACCCCGTAGCGTAGCACGGGCATCTTACTAGTAGAAATAAAAGAAACAAGTCCATCAAGAATAGTATCAAATGAAGACGAACAAGAAATGACTTCACATTTGAATTTGTCTTTTTTTTCTCCTTGTGTATTTCGAATTTCAATCTAGTTTTTAGGGGTTGTCGACATGTGTTGTGAACCAGCTCAGCGCCCACAGCCCGTAGATGCGTGCGGCTGCGCCGCCATCATAGGCCTTGTCCGCCGTGGCGAACATGCCCAGACACATCTGGTCGCGCGGGGCGAGGTGCGCGCGGCTGCGCCGCCATCACCACGACGTTCTGCTGCTGGCCTTCTCCTCGAGGCAAGGCCGTTGTTGGCCTTCTCTTCAAGCTTTTTGAGCTCGCGTTTGATTTTTTTTAAGAAGAAATGGTGATGTAATGAAGTAAAGATAAGTATTTTTCTCGGTTTGAGAACCAAGATATCAATCCAATAGAAAGACACGCAAGTCACGGTTACTTGCAAGAATGAGAACTGATTGTCAATCCACATCATCTATAGTGCAGGGCCGACTTGTTTACTGGAGCGTCAGAGGCGAACCGGTATTACATCTGGCAGGCACCCCTTAAAAACCAAATC